ATGTATATATATGTATATATATGTATATATATTTATATATTTATATCTTTATATCTTTATATCTTTATATATTTATATATTTATATATATTCCAATATATATTTCAAAGAATAATGTTAAAAGAAATGAACATGCAATCAAAAGTCAAGCCCTATATCACGTTGGCGGGATTACCGTTTGGCTTTGATCCCTGTCCAGCGACTGCTCTTGAACCTGGAAATCCATGAATTAATGAAGGACAATGACGTTGCACAGATGTATATGAAAAGTACATTTTGTGTATATGTTAACTTTATTGTGTATTTTCCCTATGTGATTACGTGTACGCCTACCTTGCTGTGGTCCTTTTATCCCTTTATTTCCATATCGAGGTCCCAGACTCAGACCAGCGTGTCCATAACCATTGTTATAGCCTATCAGTATTACACAGGCATTAGCATTAGCAACGTACTTAAAAAAAATCTAGCAGCAGCACAACTTAAAAATCATACAGTGTACAGCTCACCTCCCAATGGTTGAGCTCCGTTATTATTATAACCATGACGGCCATATGCTGGAAGAACAAAAAGTAGATTTACGCTCGTGTCAGGGCTGACCTCAGATCTGTGCCATGAACCTTACTCACCCTTCCCTTGGTTCCTGTTGAGGTTTCTAGTGTTTCCCATTCCTACACCAGGGGAAAAAAATATTTTTTTTTAAATATTGTTTAATCGGCCCAACTTTAAATTCTGAAAAGAAAAAAAATGAATAAAATTACCCGCTCCATAAATTGGATTACCGTAGCCCTTCATGGGTTTACCAGCTCCTCCCTGTCCTTTTGACACACCAAAACAAAAAAAATGGTTATAAGTAGACTGAATGTGTAGGATATATGTATTTGATCTTGCCACATCTAACCTGCATTTCCAACCCCATTGACATTGAATCGACCTGCGGGCACTCCTTGACCTAAAGCACCAGGAACTCATTAGAAAAAGATGGTATCTGATGTAGACATATTAGGCTTCAAGAATTTCAAATAAATACAAATATTCAGATGTTAAGGTGATGTGTGTGTGATCTCTCCTTTAATAAACAGATATGCCATAAAAGTCACTGTACCTTTTACTCCTG